CATCACCTTCATTGCATTGTTGAGCAGGTGTCCAGACTGCTCGAAGCAACCGTTTTCCTTCTGCTTCCCTGAGAGCCAGTTGAGCGCTTTCGTGATGTGCATCTTCTCTATAAAGATGTGGGACTGCGCTTGAGCGAAGGCCTTGAGCACGAATGCAGTGAGCCTGCAGGCAGAAAAGGGGCCGAGAGCAGGGCCACCCACCTCACTTTTACAGTTCACCATGTGTTTTCTACAGACCCTGGTCTTCACAGTTGGGTGGAAGCCGTTTTGGAGGGTCTTAGTTGATAGTTTTCAGTCTTTTGGTCTTACAAAATTTATCTCTTTTTGAACTGTCACAGAACCCTCCCGTCAAAACTGCATTTCCCAGATGACTTCCAGTTGTACCGCTCTGCATCTCTCTCCCTGATCTCCACCTTGCCTCTTCTAAAGGGCAGCAAGAAAGTTTCCACGGTGGACAACTGTACTTCTGGCCTTACACCTTTATTTCTTTGCTTTGCTTTTACCAGCTGTGCCGGCAGAGCAGGTGGGGTTGCAGCGGTCAGGAGGGATGACATTTGGAGTTTTGAGAATAAGTAACCCTTCCAGAAAAGAATCCCAGGTACAGAGAACAGCAGTTTCTAGACTCCTGAAATGCCTTGGATCAGGAGAGCATGAAGACACAGTTAATTTCATCTTACCAGGTATTTCCCAGGCTGTTCCCACCACGGTTCCCGAATGTGCTGAATGAACCATCACTGTGCTGATAGTTCAGCTGCCGCTGATACCCTGAAGAGGGAATTCAGTCGTTTATGAAGTAGAGTGATACTAGACAATTATTGTTCTTTGTTGGGAGCAATGAGATCCCAGATCCTGAATTTCTTGTAATCCCCTGATCCGAGTGCCTACAGCTGCTCTGAGCACGAGACCTTCAGGAGTTCCTGATGGCAGGAGAGTGGTTTCTGGTGGGTTTGGCTGGGGCGTGGCTATCTCTATATAATCTGCCAGTGAACACAATAAAGGGGGCATTCTTGGGGAATTCAAGGATGACCCGTGTCGCTGTCTCTCTGTCTGTGTGTGTCTGTGTATTTTAATCTCCAACCCACTTGCCAGAAGCTAGTGAATTGGGTGCCAGCGCACACAGCGCAGACACAGGGGAGGTTCGCGGCAATTCTTCACCTATCTTAACCCTATCAGAGAACCATTGAGTGAACATGTTTTACTCAACATGTTTCCAAAGGTATCAACAGTGTTGGGAGTCATTATTCTAGCGAGGGGTATTTGATTGGAAATCACAGCAACAGTGATGAC